GAAGGTTTGTGCTGTGAGAGTCAATGCTGAAAAAAATCCCTCGCCATCCCTGCACTGCAGGACAAAAGAAAGGAAGTCTCTTTATCCTTCTCTCTTTTCTTTCTCTCTTTCTCTTTTGCTTTGTGAATTCCAGCAACAAAAAAGTGAAGCCAGAGTAGAAGAGAAACAGGACAAAAGCCTTTCAGCTAAACTGAAAAGTCAAGCTTCTCAAATTCCCACGCTCATCTACCAAAATTAGTCCAACAGCATCACCCAATGTAACATCCTCATCATCCCATCCTGTGTCCTTCATGCAACTCAGACGTATCTATGTATATTTTCAAACATTTTTTTTCTGGACTCACCTCTCATTTCTAATCTGTGTATTATTATTTCTTTTTGTGTTTAGTGATAAATACATTTACTCAATCATTAACTTAAGAAAACCAGGCTACACTGATCCCTTTTAAAACATAAATTCATTTCGTCTGAGAGAAAGAAACCCATAGGGGAATCCTATTAAAATTAAACTCATTTTTGTGACCAACTTAAGGTGCAGTGAATAAAGAAGGGGAGACAGTTCATCTGTCCTCATCCAGGAGCTTGACTATTTGGCAAAACCCATCAGAAACCATAATAAACTGGGGAAACATGCCTTGTCATCACATAGTGTTCTCTTCATCTGTCCTGGACTTTTAATGACGTAAACACACCAAGGTCTGTCTGCTACCAATTACCCTTTAGAAATACAATGCTTATTTTATATTTTCTTGCCTTTTACTTACTACAAAGAAGTATCACTTCACACTTCTCTACATTGAATTTCATCTCTCAGCTATTTGCTCACTCCACCAAGTTGTCTAAATCCTTTTGGAGGGTCCACACTGGCCTCCTCACAATTTTCAATGCTTTAAAGTGTTGTATAACCGGAGACTCTGACATTGTCCCCTGTACATCAAGATCATTATTGTCAGGAAAAACAAGGTTCGACCACCACGTCCTGGGAAGCACCGCTACAAACCTTCCACAAGCCTGAAAAATATCCATTGACCATTACTCTCTGTTTCACATTACTCAATTGCTACACTGTCCCCTATGTACTCTAACCTTGCTTACAAATCTGTTGTTGAAGTAGTGAAAGGTATATTTCAAGAAGATATTATGAATGATTTCTTAAATATAAAGTACCCAGCTTTACAGATACACACTGTCTTTTATTCAGTCTCCAAAGGGCCCGTTAACTCTTCTAAGCAGTGATTTTTAACTAAAGCAAGAAAGAAACCACTTGATCCTTCTTTATGCTAACCTTCCATTCAGAAGCAAGCTTTGTCAAACTTCCTCTCATTGTGTGGGCCCAATATTATAATTTTGGACTCTGCCAGGGTATTGGGAAACAATGCCATCTCCCCAAATCATTGAGCTTACAGGTCATTGAGTCACCCTCGTTTAAACAGATATTCTATGATCCATACATTTCATCTAATGCTATCACTCCACAAGATCCATTCACTCACAGGCAGAACTCATTGTCAACTGTGACCTTATTGCGCAGGATCCCAGCTTTCAGTGGAACTTGGCTCATGGTTGGTAACAAATTTTCCCCGAACAAAACCCTCCCCACCCAACACATGAAATAAAAAACAATCCTCTGAGATGGCTATTATCTCAGGGTCACCATCAAACCATGCTTTGGAACGCATACAGATATTTAAGATAAACACACATTCTTTCCTCCCAGCATTAGATTGTGATCCACATTACAACGGATGTACTGCGATAAATGACATGCACCATTAAACAGCCAGATGGTTTCCATTTTGGAAAGCACAGTGATACTATAGCAGTTGCCTCTGAGTGACCCATGTCGTTCAACTGAGTTTAAATTGAACGTAATCTTCTGACTTTTAACACCCAAAAATTATAAAAAACTTATAAGTCTAAAACCCACTTTCAGAGCTTCCACCTTTGGGTTTAAGAGTGACAATACAAGGACAGGCAGTCAATCTGCTCACAAGAGGCAGGTTGCCAGTTTAGTTTGTTTAAATGAGGCTGTCGGCCTTAGATTTTACCTGTGCTGCTTGTTTATGAGTGGTCAGCCAGGCTTTTGGAAACCCAGAAGTTGAAGTAACGTGAAAACAAGTTGAAATTGCATTTACAGCTCTGCTTGTGGGCCAGGAGGAGTAGGAAGTTACAAAGCAAGACCCAAACAACACCCATCTCTACTCTATCAGATCTACCCTTGTGTACTGAGATTCCCAAGAGCCACAGCTCCCTAGTTTCCTCATTATGCTGACGATCAGAATTCCACCTCTGAGTGACAGTTTAGACATAGTTGGTTCTACAGCCTGCCCCAGGATCTTTCATTCCAACTCAAACCCAAATACATCAATGAGGCTGACTTCCGGTTGCAGAATTTGTCAAGCATAAATGACACAGCATGTGGATAGTTTGTGGAGAAACTCAAATTTCTAACAATATATTTGTAGGGCAACAATTCTGAACCAAACGCTGTTATTTTTTGTTTATCTTCTGATCTTACTGTAGAAATAATGGTGAGGTAATTAGTCTTCAGCATTATCCAAACCATCATAACACCATACCAATTAAGGATGAATTTCTATGGAAATCCCAAGTCAGTGGTTACATTCTCTCCGTACCTCACTCTCCAGTGGATGGTGGGGGTGGGAGAGGGAGGTGGGGTGGGTTCAGGACCTGGAAACGGTCTGGATCCTGTTTTCCCACCTCCAAAAAGAAAAAAAATCCAATCCGACACGTCAGAATGTCGAGTTACTCAGCATGATGGAAGTAAAGCAAAGCTGAGGAGGAGCAGAGCAACTCAGATAGTAATGGCCTGACTTGTGTCTTTATCTGTTGTCTGATGATCTACTTAATTACTCTCTAAATATGCCAGAAAGAGGAGGGTTCCAATCATTCCAGTGGAAATAAATTTTTAATACTGTGGGAAGTTGAAATTGTTGGTAAATGAGTTTCTTTGAAAGCACAGAATTTTTTTTCAGGTTTTTGTTGTTGTTGGAGAATTGTTTTTAAAAAAGGTGATTTTTTTTTGCTTTTATTCCTTTCTCTGTTTTGTCATCTCCCTTTCATCTCTGTTTTGCTTTCTGTACATTATTTTGCATTAATTTAAACATTTCAACTGATACTACCTGGTTTAAACACTGAAGGTTGAAAATTCACAAGACTTATTAATCAGGTTTGCAATACATGATTACCCTACGCCCAACTGAAGTGATAAAGATAGCATGCAAACTCAGTACTGTCTGCTCAGTTTTTACTTGTTTTGGGGGATAGGCAACACTAAGGAGACACCTGTTGCCCATCCCTAATTGCCCCAGAGAAAGTGGTAGTGAGCCACTTTTTGAACCCTTGCCGCCCATGTTAGTACATCCACAGTGATGTTCTGGGGAAGGAGTTTGAAGAATTTGACCCAACGACATGAAGCAACAGTGATATATTTCTAAGTCAGGATGGTCTGTGGCTTGGAAGCAAACTAAGGGGTTGTGATATTCTCATGTGTTTGTCGTTCCTGTCCTTTTATCCCTTCTGCTACTATGGATTCCTGATGAAGAGAGTGAATGTTGAAGTTGTTGGATAGGGGGCCAATAAAGCAGGATGCTTTGCCTCGGATAGTGAAAACATAGAGGCGTAGAATTATATGGCATGGAAACACACCCTTCAGTCCAACTCATCCATACCGACCAAGTTTCTCAAACTAACCAAGTCCCACTTGACTGCGTTAGGCCCATATGCCTTTAAATCTTTCTTATTCATGTACCTGTCCAAATGTCTTTTAAATATTGTAAATGTGCTTGCATTTACCACTTCCTCTGGTAGTTCATTCCACATACCAATCACCCTCTGTTTGAAGAAACAAAAACAGAAATTGCTGGAAAATCTCAGCAGCTCTGGCAGCATCTGTGGGGAGGAATTAGAATTATAGAGTCGTACAGCTCAGAAACAGACCCTTCAGTCCAACCAGTTCATGCTGACCATAATCCCAAAACTAAACTAGTTCCACCTGCCTGTGCTTGGCTCATATCACTCCAAACATACATTATTGATGTACTTATCCAAATGTCTTAAATGTTGTAACTATACCCACATTCACCACTTCCTCAGGAAGTTCATTCTACACACAAATCACTCTGTGTGTAAAACAAACTGCCCTTCATGTCTTTTTGAAATCTTTCTCCTCTCTCCTCTAAAAATATGGCCGCTAGTCTTGAAATCCCCCAATCTAGGGAAAAGACATCTGCCATTCACCATATCTATACCCCACATGATTTTATAAACCTATATAAGGTCCCCCCTCAACCTCCTATGCTCCAGTGAAGAAAGGTCCCAGCCTGAAGGATGGCGAGCAGGCTTCCAGCAGTCAGGAGCTGTGTTACTTGCTGCAGAATTCCCAGTATCTAACCGACTTTTGTAGCACAGCATTTATGTGGCTGGTCCAGTGATTTTTTAAAATATATTTCTGGTCAATGTTAAACTCTAACCCCAGGTGAATATGCATTTTGGCTGTGAATATTCAAATGATGGCATTAACAGGACGTGAATGGCCCGAAGTAGCAGCTGTAGTATCAACTCAGTATTAAGCCCTGAGCAATGTTATGAACTATCCTTCCTGTAAGCTTCTGCTAGGGCAGAAGCATGTTGGCTACCCATGTTGGAAATCTGGGTTACCATAACACTAGTGGTAATACAGAACTGAATTTTGTGGCTCTGTGTTCCTCAGTGAGGATTCCTCAGTCTGACGATTAAGATGGCTCAAAGTTGCATGTCTTCTTCACTCAGTTCCAAATCTCCAGTCAAGGGTACCACACTGTTTCAGCCTCAAATCTTATTGCGGTAGTTGAGAGACAGTAGCATAGGCAAATGTACTTGGACTGAATTGCAAATGCCATTCATTCACTGCTGATCACACAGTCCAGGCTTTAGTCTCTGGTGTTTCTCATGGACACAGGTTTTCAGAGTGGGATGCAGTACAGTGTCACCAAACCTACCGATAGAAGGCCATATAGATCCATGGGTTTGTGCAACTGTTGAGGCTTGCGAGGAGCATTATGATGATAAATGGTGTACCTTGAAATAGAGAAAGAGATGTTACTATCATACTAACAATGAATGTGTAAATAATAAACATGTTTATCAAAATAAGTTTTTGTTTCAACCTCGCTTTAAAATAATTTCTTTTTTGGTTGTACTCCAAGATTTTATATTTATATATATTGTGAAGTTATTACATTGCTGTTACATACAGGGTTGGTTAGCTCAGTTGCTTGGATGGCTGGTTTGTGATGCAGACTGATGCCAGCATGGGTTCAATTCCAGTACTGGCTGAGGTTACCATGAAGGACTGTCCTTCTCAATTTCATCCCTCACCTGATGAGTGGTGACCCTCAGGTTAAACCACCAGTAGGATCATCCCTCTCTAATAAGTGAGCAGCACTGTGGGACAATAGTAACTATGCCTTTACATATGGGAGTGGTATCCTTGATGCTCAAGTTATCTTGATATGATTGTGAGATTAATGTGAGTTCAGATAGATTGTTCACTTGCTCTTGGGTGTTTGTTTAAGTTTGAAAAACCAGAAAGGGAATATTCTAACTTCTCAGGGTTATGAAATTTAGTTATTTTAAGTTCAATTTTATATGGAGTAACAATATCAATTTATTAATTCTTCAGGTGTGGGGGCTTCCTGGATTTATTTTGTTTTTAATGCTCATCTCTAGTTGCCCTGAGAAGGGACAATAAACAATGGGGAGGTGATGACCTACTGCTATTATCTCTGGACTGTTAATCCAGAGGTCCAGGTAATGTTCTGGGGACTCCGGTTCGAATCCTGCCATGGCAGGTGGTAGAATTTGAATTCAATGAAAAATTCTGGAATTAAGAGTCTAATGATGACCACTAGTCCATTGTCAATTGTTGGAAAAACACATCTGGTTCAAAATGTCCCTTAGGGAAGGAAACTGCCATCCTTACTTGGTCTGGTGTACATGTGACTCCAGAGCCACAGCAATGTGTTTGACTCTTAACTGCCCTCTACGTAGTTAGGGATGGGCAATAAATGCAGGCCTAACCCTCATTCCATGACTGAATTAAAAAAAAAACCTTCTTAAGCTATGGTACACCATATGATGAAGGTTCCTCAGGGGTTCTGAGGAAGGGTCACCAGACCGGAAACGTTAAGTCTAATTTTTTTTGACAGATGCTGCCAGACCTGCTGAGCTTTTCCAGCATCTTCTGTTTTTGTTCCGGATGGGGCTACTTATCTTCAGAAAAAAATGTCTGAGAGAAACAATGTATTTCTGTCTGATTTTTTGGCGATGCATTGATTTTTATTGAAGACATTGAAGTAGAAATTCTATCAGTGCCCATTTTGATATCATTGTTTTAAGGCACTTGACAGTGAGGCCAGGCCAAGTAACTGAAATGCATTTGAGTGGAATTTGTTCCAATGTGATTAAACGAAGAACCATGGATGCCAGAAAAATCTGAAACAAACACAGAAATTGCTGGAGAAACTCTATTTTCTCTCCACAGATACTGCCAAACCTGCTGAGTTTGTTCCAACATATTTGGCAACTTTTGATTTTGGCACACCATTTGTTAGACGTGCTTGTTGCTGTTCATGTCTTTTTCCAATTAATGAATTCATTTGATGCCTTTAAACAATGTTAATTAGGTAAGATACCCTCTGTGGCCAGAGGAATGGGACAGACCTTCTTTGGTAAAAGGGAGAGCATCTCTAATCTGTGTTACAAGATCTACTAGCTTCCTTATTGCTGATCTCAACACAGGCAACGTGTTGTAATAGCTTCATCAAGCCATTTCTGCAAACTATAGAAATATACGCCACTGTCTGTGAGCAAAATTTTTTAACATGTCAGAGATCTGGTGCCTGTTCATCTAAATAGTCTTTAATATGTTAACGTCTGTTGAACATCTGTTGTCATGTCACTGCAGTTATGATGTTCAGCAGCATTCTCAATGGGTGACCAGTCAATGTGTTCATTTTTGCAATAATCATAAAATAGCTGAGACAAATATCTTGGGAGAGCTGGCATGCTGGATCAATGATGGATGGTTGTGTCTGGACGAAGACATGAATTGGATCTCTAAGAGGAGCAGGACAATAATCATTTCTGACAATTCTTCAGGAGCTTCAAAGTAAACTTTATATCTGACTCTTGGAATAAATGTTTCAGTCAGAGTTTTAAATCAGCAGAAAAAGCATGCTGGATCTCGTTGTTAATGGTGATTTGATTTGTTACGGCATGAGTGACCGTGATTTAAATAACAATACAATGTTGTACGTGCAAATTTATCATTTTGAGGGGATTGGTATATGCTGTAAATTCTTAACAATTCTATTTGTACAGTATAATGTTCAATTACTTATTAAGAGAGAAATATATTTGTTTGTTAGGTTGTATAACCTGTGTTTCAGTTGGGAAAAAATGCAATTTCATTAACTAATAAAGGGTTTTTTGGTGACCTGTGATATAAGTGAAGAACAGTGACAAGGATTCAAAGTGAGGAATCTGCTATATTTACACAGACGCTAGGTAGATAAAGGCACACATTGGCCTACTGAATTTGTCAGCGCAACTCGTCAGAGAGTTATTGATATCGAACCATGATAGATAGCCCAAGTTTAAATTCTAAAACATAAAACCATCGTGTTAGAATAATAATTATATCATTGTGATAAGGTGTAACACATTATTTTCTACCACAGGCAAGCCTAACTATGGTTAAGAGCCACATAAAATATAAAGTACTGATATTATTTGTGTTTTCTATTGTCACGCAAAGTTATGAAACAGTAAAAGCTTAAAAAAGTTAGCAAAATAGCATTATACTGTACACAGCCAAACTCATAGCAGCAATATGGGCAAAAAAAAAACAAACAGTAAATCAGTTCTTGAGACATTAGCTGAGGGTTAAATGCAGATCAGGATGCAGGGGAGAATTTCCTTGGTCTTTTTTGAGTAATGCCTTGGAATCCTTTACATTCATTTCAGAGGACAGGCAATAGCTTGGTTTAAAGGGTCATCCAAAAGACAGGATCTCTGACAATACAGCACACTTTCAGCACCGTAATGGCGTGTGCTACCACCATAAGACCTGAAGGATGGCATAAGAAAACTGAAGGGTGCTGATCAAACTGATCAATCCCTGAGCATGCCATGGATATTTTTGAATCAACCTGTTCAGAGTTGTTACCCCAAACCTCTGGAGCAGATGGACTTCAACCCAGGTCTCCTAGCTCAGAGAGAGAGAGAGACACTACCACTGTGCCACAATCATCCTGAGCATGCTATATATCTAGCTAGTTATCCAAGGCAATTGTACACATACTGTCTGACATAGATCGAACAGGTCCTAAGTGATAACATAATCATCAGTTGTGAGACAAAATGTAAAAAGCTTTAAAACTGCCATGCATTTTGTTAAAAATATCTCAATGAGAGGTTGCCCTTTAATTGATCTGTCTCAGATCAAGGAATCGCTTTCAGTTTGGGCTAAATAAAACTAAGAAATGGGTGGACGTGTTTAAAACTTGATGTGTCCCTGTAAAGTTAACCTTTTTTTTTGTTCATTCATGAGCTGTGGGTTTTGCTGGCTTGGCCACTACTTTATTGCTGATCCCGAATTGCCCAAAGAGCTATGGCTGTTCTCAGCCATAACATCTCAGCCCAAAGGCGACAGAAATTGTAGCTGCAATGTGTTCCAGCTGAAATAGAAGAACACTCCACTCCATATGAGGAGGAAATTTACAAAGTGGAGTTTTTCTTTAAATATATAACATTGCTAAGTGCTATACTGAATGCCTGGTCAATCAACCCTCCATAGTAATAACCAGTGCCTCTGAACAATTTCAGACAATGTTTGAATCATAGCCATATTTTCAATGTAATCATTTAGTTAAGGTAGAACTCTATAATTTTATCATAATTTGTAATCAGCCTAAACTCACTTTGATTTTAGGATTCACAAGAGAGCTATTTAAAGTCTGCTGCATGCATAATTTGACAATCAGTTGTCTTTCTATCTTTGCTGCAGTTTAGGATTTAAATTTTGCAATTTTTTAAGCAATGATTTCAGCAATTGTCTATGTAATCAGAGAAAATAATCTCTTCACTGGCTGACTTAAAAAAAGAATGAAGCTGAAGTTGTAAGTAACTACTTATTTGTGGGGCTTCCCACGTTTCTGTGATGACGTTCAGTCTTCCTGTTGATCGCTTTTGAATGACACTATTTTGCGGTTGAGGTAAGCTCTCCAGTGTTCTGAAATCTGGAGCAAAAACACAAAAAAAACAATTTTCTTGGTATCAGCCTTGTACATTTCTGAGGATAGAGCACTGAAATAATTAGCTGAAGTCTTCAGCAGTGCTGATGGACTGGGGAGTTTTTGAAGGCAGCCAAGTTTTGGGAAGCATGCAAAGTGGAATTTTGGGATGGGTTAGGATAATGACTTTTTTCCAGAGTTAAAGCTGTCTCTCATTCTGCTTCTTATCCTTGTCCATTGCACTTCTATGTTGCAATGTGGAGCCAGGAGATCAATGTTTATATCGGTATCCATGACTTGCTTCTTGATTTGACTTCCTCTCTGACCTGACACTTTCTATCTCTCAACTTTTCTGGCAATATTGACTACTTTCACCCACACTCTTCATTTCAAATTTAAGGCTCTTGCACATCTCTGTTTTGTGGCTATGCTTTCAACAAATGCATCCAGATATTCTGAAAATATCTCTTTCTAAATCATCTGGTCTATTAATTGTGATGAAAGGTATATAATTTTATTTTTTGAATTTGGTTTCAGAATAGAGGCAGAGGGCATTGGTTATCTCTGTGAAGGGTTTTCTTCTGAAAACAAGTGTCAGACAATCTTTCCAGAACAGTGACTAAATCAGAACTTGTCACAAAACAGGTGACTACAGATGCCTGCGGTGTAACTAGAAAGATGCTTCATGCTGTTTGTGTTTATGACGACTAGGGTAGGGGGTAAGGCCATTAGTTTTTATCTTGACTAGTCCTGCTGGAATTTTATCAGTTTCCTTGACATCCT